CCAACATTGCCTTGACAAGCACAAGTTGATCCTGATATTAGCCTCTTATTCAATGCTTCCAGCTAACTACATCTAGAATTTCCCATCTGCCATTCCCCTGTATCTGGCCTGTGAAAAACTGCAATGGAAAACATTTTGCTGTACTTTAGATGCATCATCTCAATAGTTTATGGCTTTCACTGATACTTGTTTTTCAAAACATCTTTTTTTTTTGGTCTACACTTAATTTGATTTTGTTTGAAATTGCTGATAAATCCATATAACCCTGTAACATATACGGTGAAACCTCATAATCCTTAAGAACGTGGGTAACTTTGTGGTTATCATATTTAGGAATATGCCCAATATTTGAAGAGCACTATTGAATTTCATTTTTGCCACAATCCTATAAAGTATATACAACTATCTCCCCAGTTTGTAGCTGAGTCTCAGAATGCTTAAATAACATGTCCTGGTGTCACAGTTGGTAGACCTGGGATTCAAATCTAGAATTGCCTTCAAAGCCCATGTTTCTAACCATTACACTATACTGTATAGAATACTGAATATTCATATTTTAGGACAATATTAAGGGAAGCCAGAATCACTGTATCAAAGCTGGGAGGACTTGCTTTGCAGATGATTAAATCAAAATACCTCATTGTGCAGATGGCTGGTGGTAGGTGGGATGAGAGAAGAAGCAGCTTTCAAAGTCTACAGAGTGAGAATAGAAGTGGTTGGATGCTTATTCAACACCTATGCTTCTGTCTCCTCCTTCCTAAGGGAATACTGCTTTTGTTTAGGCCTTCACACTTCTCGATGTGACCCTGTGTTTCAAGGGAGGCTGTGCAATCGCCAATGCTAGGGGATGAGTCATGATTGGCCTAATCCATCATGGTGAACCCATTCCCTTACCAATGATAGGCTTAGACATAGGCAGAAGATATAATTTTGGCCAATGAAATACGAGGAAATCTAATGGAGGGTTTCTGGAAATATTTCTTCACTTTAAAAAGAGCCATAGACACCTGAAGATATCCTAATGTAGGGAGAGGAAGAATTAGTAATTCTATTATTTACTATTCACCATTCTGAGCTTCCATAAATGACCTCTTATTCTTAGAACAAAATGAGATGGCAGGTTTTATCATACCCATTCATAGATGAGGAGACTCAGACTTGAGAGCAGTTAAGTAATTCAGCTGTTAATTGGTAGAGATGGGATTCAAATCCAGAAATGTATGGCTTCAAGTGTATCTTGTTTTAGGTTACTTTTTCTTTGGAATAAATTTGACATAGGTTTATGTTAATAATTGTGTTGGTAAGTCTCCGATAGTGTGTTCCCTTCTGTGTGTCCAGGTAGAGTTAGGTTCTGAGTCTGCAGAGCTGTGTGTCCTTAGGTCTTCCTCCACCTGGGAATCATATGGTCCCTCCAGCTGAAGTCTTGGTCAGATGATCCTCTGAAATGACAACAGCCTAGAGGCTTGCATGCGATCAGGGAGGTTAAAATCATTCAGGAATGCTGGCTTTGGGGACAGGATTGGGAGGCTCCTTTTCTCTTAATACTTTGCTCTCAAATTTTTTAAATTAAAAATCTGTTTTGTAAAGATAGAGTCTCACTGCATTGCCTCGTCTGGTCTTGAATTCCTGGGCTCAAATGAGCTGCCTGCCTTGGCCTCCCAAAGTGCTGGAATTACAGGCATGAGCCACTGCACCCAGCCTTGTCTTGCTGTCAATTCTGAATCACTTGAAGATGTTGACTTGAGTCAGCTATGGTCACAACAAATGATAGAAAACACCAAGTAATTGTTACTTGGCACAGGTTAGGCAACTGGTTTGTTTCCTTCCTTGGTTGACTTAACTCAATTGACTGGTATAGGCCCAAGTTCATTTCTTTTAGGACAAGCCAGGCAAATCTCTCCAAATAAAGATAAAAATGTCTACTTTACAGGGTTGTAGAGAGAACCAAGTTAATGTTCCTTATATAGTTTCTATCACATGGTAGGAAACAGAATGTGCTAGCTCCCTAAGTCCCCATTTTCCTCTTGCTTCCTTCAAACGTTTGATCAATACAAAAGTTATCCAGAGGAGAAATGTTTTTGTTTCTTGCAATCACTGCTAACTCTGTTACTCAATGTCATTTTTCAAAAAGAATTATTTTAGAATCTAGCACTAAAGATAGGTTAACTTCTTCTTTTTCCAATTAAAAAAATGCCCAACCCATCTTATATTCCTTTTTGTCATGGCTTCCAAGATAATCAGAAGTAAACTTAATTACCAAGGGCATTGACCAGCTTGCATCTATCTATCTATCTATCTATCTATCTATCTATCTATCTATCAATCATCTATCTACATCTTTATCCTTATCATCTAGATGTCTATCATCTATCTGTATTAGTTCCCTAGGGCTGATATAACAAATTACCACAAACTTGGTGGCTTAAAACAACTGAAATTTTGCGAGGTGTGGTGGCTCATGCCTGTAATCTCAGCACTTTAGGAGGCCAAGGCGGGCGGATCATGAGGTCAGGAGATCGAGACCATCCTGGCTAACACGGTGAAACCCCATCTCTACTGAAAATACAAAAAATTAGCCGGGCGTGGTGGCAGTTGCCTGTAGTCCCAGCTACTCGGGAGGATGAGGCAGGAGAATGGCATGAACCTGGGAGGTGGAGCTGGCAGTGAGCTGAGATGGTGTCACTGCACTCCAGCCTGGGTGACAGAGCAAGACTCCGTCTCAAAAAACAAAACGAAACAAAACAAAAACAAAACAACAACAACAAAAAAAACCACACACAGAAAAACCCAGGTATTTATTCTCTCTCAGTTTAGGAGGCCAAAAGTCTGAAATCAAGGTGTCAGCAGGGTTAGTTGCCTCTGGAAGCTCTGAGGGACATGTTTTATGCTTCTCTCCTAGCTTCTGAGGGTTGCTGGCAATCTTTAGCATTTCCTTGGCTTGTAGCTGCACATTCCAGTGTCTACCTTTGTTGTCACATGGACTTCTTCCCTGTGTGTCTCTCCACAGGGTTTCCTTATAAGGATATCCATAATTGAATTTAGGGCCCACTTGAATACAGTATGGCCTCATTTTAACTTCATTAACTACCTTTTCAAAGACTCTATTTCCAAATAAGGTCACATTCTGAAGTCCTAGGTAGACACTAATTTTGGGGGGACACTATTTGTCCCCCCAAATAGTACACTACCAATTTCACTCCCAATGTATGCTTTTACTTTCTGCTCCCTAACATTTTCTCAGGTACGCTGTCCAATTTCTCTGATTCTTTATTCCACAATCACTGGGTGCTACTATATATGAGACATTGACAATACAATTGCAAACAAAATCTTTGCCCCTCACCAAGCTCTTACAGTTTAATGAAGGGATACACTAAAACAAAAACTCAGTTAAGTATTTGTTTAGAAATAGTATAATTTATAAATTATGACAAGGGCTATGAAATAATGTGAGATATATGAGATTATAAAGGGAGATATGATTCATATTGGTCTGGGATTATAAAAAACCAAGAAGGGAGATTTCAGCTGGGAGTTTATAATGTAAAGGATTCAGCTGAGCAAGTGTCAGAGGGTAGAGTATTTGAGGAAGAGGAGGCAACACCCTGTGCAGGGAAGCCAGGAGGAAAGTGGCGTGGGATGAGGCTGGGAGGTGGGCAGGGCCAGGTCCCACAGGGCATTGTGGGCCATGCCAACATTTCAGATTTTTGTCCCATTAACATGGGAGGCCACTGCAGGCTTCTGAGCAAAGAATGATCTGCCACATGGAAAAATTTGAGGAGGCAGGAGTGAAAGCAGAGAGCCAGTTAGGAGACTTTTATAGTGGTCCAGGTGAAGAATGATGGCTTGGACTCGAGTGACAACAGTGGAGATGACAATAAATGGGCATATTTGAGGCATATTTTATAGAAGGAAAAGACATGGCTTGTTGATGAATGCGGAAGATGAGATGTGGGAGGCATTAAGGATCCCTGCCAGTTTCCAGAATGAGTAACTAGATGGCCAGAGGTGCCATTACCAAGATGTGAGGCACAGGGGGAAAAATAGATTTAGGAGGGACGATCAAGGGTTCAGCTTTTGACAAGTTAAATTTGAGATGCCTGGAGGATATTCAAGTGGAGATGTCAAATAGGAAGGTGGATATATGGTCTGGAGCTCAGAATAAGGGTCTGTGTTGAAATACAAATTCGGGAGTTCTTGGCAAAGAGACTACTTGAAGCCATTATTATTCGCTTTAGGTGTTTTTTGTTTTGTTTTGTTTTTAATTGTCAGGCTGACCTTGTTCAGGTATATTTGGCTCCTCTTTTAAATATCTGAGCCTGTGGCTTTGGTTATACCTTCCAGTCTCCAATTTTAATCATCCAATTTCTGCCTTATTTTATAGGTTTCTTTCTAATTACATTGTAAAGTCAGAGTACTGCAATAGAAAGAAACAGATTCTGATTATTTGTGTGCCTTGGGGAAACCACTGAGTATCTCTGGGTACTCTTTTCCTAACTATAAAAGAAGGGAATTGATTGTTTTCAGTTTTAAAAATCTATGACTCTATAATCTACATCCACGAAGGCTTCATCTTTAGGTGGTAACCATTGGTAATTTAGCAATGTTTTGATTAGATTTTGCAGGATATTTTGAAGTACACATCATGTCCATCAATTAACGATTAAATCAAACAGTGTTCATGTCAGTCTCAGATACTATTGCTGTAATTCAGAACAGCATTTCTTCTGTACTTGTGGATATAGGTCATGGGGAAAAGTAGAAATTTAGATATTTACACATTAAAATAGCATCGCATTTAAATCTAAGACAAACATGCTTCCCTGTCAATTCCTATAGGAATGGACGCTTTTTGGGCAAAGTGAAAAGTAATCCTAATATTATGTAAGAGTCTAGTAAATGCAATAACCTAGATGATGAGGCACAAGTAATAGCATTTCCTTACGTTCTCTGAGGTACAGCTATACAACATGTCACCATTTTCAGCCATCTTTCCATACCTCCGTGACAGCAAAACTTCTCTTGCCACAGGGAACCACCTTGTACCACTTGTCATGGAGCACATCCATAAACCCATGTGACTTGTATTGACTGATTAGCTCGGATATGTTGGAGGTCAATGGAGAGTTGGGTGGGAGGCCAATGCCGTATCCTAGGAGAAAATACAATCTCAGATGAATTTTTTACACCCTTCCTGAGAGATTGCTGCCACAGTACATACTTGTGTGATACTGCTGTCAGACCTAAAAAAAGGGCGTGATGAGTTTTCATCAACTTTCTTTCAAAGCACTCGAGGATATTCCTAGTAACGATTACCCTTGAATCAGCTGCATCTCTGAGTAGATGAATTAAGTTGGAAAAGGAGAGGAATGGGCTGTGCACAGTGTGTTAGTGAAACATTTTAAGATCTTCTGCCTTTCCCTTTAATACATTCCTTAGAGGTAATCTTTGGGGTCTTTATCAGGGCTTGGATTCCCTATCTACTTCTTCCAGAACCCCTCCTCTGAACATTAAATACACAAAATTGGATTAATCTTAGTCTGTGGTTGGTGACATTCTCTTATCAATGTTAATGATGACCCTTTCTTACTTTTTAAAATTTATTTTTAATTTTTGAATAATATAATATGACCATGTGAATAGACAATACAGTATGAGAACTAAAACATTAACAGGAACTTATAAAAACCATCTTAAATTGTCCATAAATAAATAAATAAGAGGTAATGCCAAGTGTTAGAGAAGATGAGGATTAATAAGATTATTTATATATTGCTTGCTGTAATACATACTGAAAATTTACACAACCATTTTGGAAAGCAGTTTGGTATTACTTTGTATGGTTGAACATTTACATATTTTAAGAACAGCAATTCTGCTCCTGAGTCTATTCCCAAAGATCTCCACCACAAGCATACCAGAAGATGTGTACAAAACTGTTCTTAGAGGAACTGTTTGTCATAGCAAAAACTGGAAACAACCCAACTGTTCTTTGACAAGAGAATGGGTAATGAAACTGTGGACTATTTGCACAGATGGAATATTACATAATAAAAACTGTATGAACTAGAACTAGAGGCAACAATATGGATGACCCCTAGTAATATGCCATTGAGTGAAAAAGGTCAGTTCCAGAAGATTATTTGCAGCATGAGTTCATTGTGTAAATACTAAAGCATTCAAAACCAAACAATATAGTTTTAGCAATACATATATATGCATATATATGTGATAATACCTTTTTTTTTTTTGAGACAGGGTCTTGCTCTGTTGCCCAGGCTGGAGTACAGTGGTGCCATCATGGCTCACTGCAGGCTTGACCTCCTGGGCTCAAGTGATCCTCCTGGCTCAGCCCCCCAAGTATCTGGAACCACAGGCACACACCACCACCCTGGCTAATTTTTGTATTTTTTGTTGAGATAGGGTCTCACTGTGTTGTCCAGGCTGGTCTTGAACTCCTGGGCTCAACCAGTCCACTCACCTCAGTCTCTCAAAGTGATGGGATTACAGGTGTGAGCCATGTGCCCAGCTTGTCATAATACTTATTATTTTTTTTTAACAAAACCAAGGATGTGTTAAGTGAAAGGGTGGTGGTAATGCAGGGCAAGGGAGGCAGGGGAAGGAATGAGGGACAAACATAAAGATGGAGTTAATTTGTTGTCAGAGTTTTATTAGTCAGCTTAGACTCTGTATCCTCACACTGTGTGGTTTTACTTGCTTTCCAAAGTGTTACTATACTGTTAACCTCTTTGATGAGCCATGTCAAAGAAGCTAATTAGCTACATTTTGTTTTAGCTATTGGACAGAATAGTAAAAAAACCCACAACACTTTTTTTTTGCCTTCAACATGATTGAGGAAGAGAGATTAAAAATAGAGTTAGTTCCTTTTTTGTGGATAAGGACTAAAAGACTGTCAAGCATCCAAAGATACTTAATATAAACAAATATCTCCTATAATTATTCTATCTTACAATTCAATTTCAAGAGCACTGATTTTTGTTTCTTTTTTTAATTCAGATACACAATCTTTTTCTTTAAAAAAGGCTTGAGATGTGTGTATAACCAATAAAAGAGATGAAATAATGCATAAAAAACTGAGTTTTAATGGATTGTATTTTTTTTTCTGATGATAATATTATTTGTTCCTTAACAATAGGGAGTCAAGAAAATGATGACAATGTCAAAAGCATGATTAGAATTTTCCATTCAAAGAGCTATTTTGAGTGCCTGTTTTATGCCTAGTAATTTTGGTTTGAAAGGCAGGACTGGAAACAAAAGAGTTTGGATGGGTAGCTTTTGATTCTGCTGATGTTATTATTAAATAACATTTTAAAATATAATGGGTAATTTATTAGAAGGAAGTAATCAGTTTTCTTTAGAAACATAATGAATGTTGTTTCCAATTCAACTGCACAAACATTATTCAGGACTTATTTGCACATCAGGCACAATACTAGGCACAAGCGTATCATAATATTCACTGATTCACTGACTCACTCACACATTCGTTTATTCATTCATTCATTCATTCAGGCAACAAATCTTCCCTGAGTAAATAGGCACCATGTTAAGTGGTCAGGTCTTAGCAGTGACCAAGGTGGATGTGGTCACTGCTGTGATGGAATGTGCACTCTACAGGAGAAACAGATATTAAACAAGACACAGCATAATTATTATTTCATTACAATTGAGATAGGTGCCATAAGGGAGAACCGGGCCATATAAGAACAAAGTATAGGAGGACTTGCTACTGTCTGGTAGGAGTTGGTTGATGGTTAGGATAATTAACCAGGTTTGCCAAATATCAATGTGTTTTTCCTCCCTGGGTCAACAGTTTTCAACAACATCAACAGCGATGACAACAACAACAACAACAGATTGTGGCACACAGCTCAGTTAAATCATCCTTGGATTCTAATAATAAGTACTAGGACATACTGGGCTCCACTGTGTGCCAAGCATTATTCCACATGTATCCCTACATGAACCCACACCAGAATGTGTATTACTTGGAGACTTAAAGATTGAATAAATAGGCCAGGCATGGTGGCTCATGCCTGTAATCCCAGCACTTTGGGAGGCTGAGGTGGGCAGATCATGAGGTCAGGAGATCGAGACCATCCTGGCTAACATGATGAAACCCCGTCTCTACTAAAAATACAAAAAATTAGCCGGGCGTGGTGGCACGCACCTGTAGTCCCAGCTACTTGGGAGGCCGAGGCAGGAGAATGGCATGAACCTGGGAGGCAGAGCTTGCAGTGAGTAGAGATTGCGCCACTGCACTCCAGCCTGGGTGACAGAGCAAGACTCCATCTCAAAAAAAAAAAAAAAAAAAGATTGAATAAATAAACTGCCAAGGTCACACATAGCTAGTAGTTGGCAAAGCCAGCATTTTAAAATAGATCTGTTTGATTCTAAAACTAATGCTCTTCCCACCATGTCCATTACAACACGTGACCATACCAAGGAAATACTTATCTCTCTCCCTTTAATGCAGTCCTCAACACTATATGCACATTGATGTAATGCCTTAAACCAGATAATTCATTTAAAAAACATAATATTCTAAATTGTTGGTTTGTTTCTAGTAAACATAAATATATGTTATTCACAGGTAGATTTTACTTATAAACTTTTCAGTAAGTTATGTAGAAATGGTGTGAGAACAGCTTTAATTTCTATATGATTATGAGAAAATTCACGAGGAAGGACACTCACTAATTGTTTCTCCTAAAACCCTCTTAAAGCTAATCATTCCAACCCACATTAGTGTAATCATGGCAGAATTGTTTTGCATTTGATAAGCATTTATTGCTCACCTATTCATCTATTGATTAATTCCATAAACATGTGTTGAGTGCTTATTCTGTGTCAGGCACTCTTTTTCTTTTTTTTTTTTTTTTGTATATAAAGCTCAATTTTATTTTATTTTTATTTTATTATTATTATTATGCTTTAAGTTCTAGGGTACATGTGCATAACGTGCAGGTATGTTACATATGTATACTTGTGCCATGTTGGTGTGCTGCACCCATCAACTCGTCAGCACCCATCAACTCGTCATTTACATCAGGTATAACTCCCAGTGCAATCCCTCCCCCCTCCCCCCTCCCCATGATAGGCCCCGGTGTGTGATGTTCCCCTTCCCGAGTCCAAGTGATCTCATTGTTCAGTTCCCACCTATGAGTGAGAACATGCGGTGTTTGGTTTTCTGTTCTTGTGATAGTTTGCTGAGAATGATGGTTTCTAGCTGCATCCATATCCCTACAAAGGACACAAACTCATCCTTTTTTATGGCTGCATAGTATTCCATGGTGTATATGTGCCACATTTTCTTAATCCAGTCTGTCACTGATGGACATTTGGGTTGATTCCAAGTCTTTGCTATTGTGAATAGTGCCACAATAAACATACATGTGCATGTGTCTTTATAGCAGCATGATTTATAATCCTTTGGGTATATACCCAGTAATGGGATGGCTGGGTCATATGGTACATCTAGTTCTAGATCCTTGAGGAATCGCCATACTGTTTTCCATAATGGTTGAACTAGTTTACAATCCCACCAACAGTGTAAAAGTGTTCCTATTTCTCCACATCCTCTCCAGCACTTGTTGTTTCCTGACTTTTTAATGATTGCCATTCTAACCACACATCTACAGCCATCTGATCTTTGACAAACCTGAGAGAAACAAGAAATGGGGAAAGGATTCCCTATTTAATAAATGGTGCTGGGAAAATTGGCTAGCCATAAGTAGAAAGCTGAAACTGGATCCTTTCCTTACTCCTTATACGAAAATTAATTCAAGATGGATTAGAGACTTAAATGTTAGACCTAATACCATAAGAAGCCTAGAAGAAAACCTAGGTAGTACCATTCAGGACATAGGCATGGGCAAGGACTTCATGTCTAAAACACCAAAAGCAACGGCAGCAAAAGCCAAAATTGACAAATGGGATCTAATTAAACTAAAGAGCTTCTGCACAGCAAAAGAAACTACCATCAGAGTGAACAGGCAACCTACAGAATGGGAGAAAATTTTTGCCATCTACTCATCTGACAAAGGGCTAATATCCAGAACCTACAAAGAACTCAAACAAATTTACAAGAAAAAAACAAACAACCCCATCAAAAAGTGGACAAAGGATATG